CAATGTCATTGAAATATGAGGAAAAAATTTCTTTTAATAGCTCTTATATCCTTAAACATATACTATCTAACTTCTGTCTGTGATATGCACTTTTGAGACTCTTTCGAAGATTTCATTCTTGTTTAATATTAACACTTTTAAAAGTTATTGTCCCTTGTGCGAAAAACTTTATTATCTTTCCTCCAAAACCATAGACCATAGAGATATTCTAACTTCTTACGAAAAACGAAACCCTATGTTAGAACTTTGATACCTTATCCAGTTATTGCCCTTTTCACTGTAAAGCTTTTTATCGCTATTCCCCTAAAACCGTAAATCACAGAGATGCAGAACCTTCACTAATGTCTTCAACTAATTTAGGATACTTTTCAATCTGTTCATTGCAAAAGTTTTCGTTGACCCCTTCAATGAGTAACTGCCCCTGAAAGTTTATAAATTCTATAAAAAACAAAAAAAATTCAAAACGAGAAGTCGTAGAGACATGAAACCAACTGCATAAGTTTCATTGACCTTTGACCTTCAAATTCATTTCAAAGTCAAAGGTCAAGGTCATTCCAAATATGAGGAATACATTTCTTTTAATAGCTCTTATATCCTTAAACATATACTATCTATCTTATGTCTATGATATACACTTTTAATACTCTTTCGAAGACTTCATTCTTGTCCCCCTAAGATTGACACTTTTTAAAGTTATTGCCCCTTGTGCGAAAAACCTTGTTATCGCTACTCCTCGGAAACCATAGACCATAGAGACACCAAATCTTCACTAATGTCTTAAGGGTCTTCAGACCTAACTTCATTGTACAAGTGCGAAAGGATGTGATGACCCGTTATATGAGTTATTGCCCTTTAACGTCTTTGTACTTACTATTAAACCTTATAACTTGAAAAGTATAAGTCGTAGAGGCATGGAGTCAATTGCATTGTGACCCTTGACCTTTGACCTTGAATATTTTTTCAAGGTTAAAGGGCAAGGTCATTTAATTTTTTTTTTTTAAGTTTTCATTTTTTTACTTTATCCTTTTAAGACAAGTTTGTTTTCTCATGGAAATTATAATTTTAAGGAGTCAGATATAAAACAAAATTGAAATTCAAAGAAGGTGGAAAAGACCTCTTATTGTTCTTTGAACAATAAGTCTCCTAGTTATAATTATCATTTTTCTGCCGCGTGTTTTTGAGTTTCAAGATTTATCGAAAAGATTTATAGACCATAAGAATGTACTTCATAAATGATTTTCGCAGTTGACCCTGCATGTATGAATTCTGACCCCTCAAGGAGTTATGACCCCTTTCGCAATAAATGTTTGTTATTGCTATTTCTCCTAAACCATACAACGTAGAGTTACAAACTCTTAACTAATGTCTACGACTTATTCAGTAGACGCTTTAATCTGTCTTTTCAAAAGAATTCGTAAACTCCTGTAATGAATTGTTGCCCCTGAATGTTTGCGATGTTTATGAATATCAAGATCTTTTCTTAAATGACAAGTCGTAGAGACATGAGACCAATGGCGAAAGATTCATTGACCTTTGACCTTTAAATCTAGGTCAAGGTCAAAGGTCAAGGTCATTCAAAATATGAAAAATTAAGCTCTTTTTATAACTCTTTTGATCTTCACCAAATTCCACACATCTTTGCATCTTTAGTATGTACTCTTAAAATAATTTCAGAGATTTCATGCTTGTCCCCTAAGATTGAACCCTCTAAAAGTTAGTGCCCCTTTCAGTGTAAATCCTTGTTATCGCTACTCTTCCGAAACTGTAAACCTTCAAGGTACAAAACCTTCAACAATGTGTGCGACTAATCTAGTACACTTCTCATTCTATTAATGCAAAAGAATTCGTAAACCATTTTAAGCAGTTATTGACACTGACAGTTTCTCATGATTACGAAGAACTGAAAACTTCTTAATGACAAGTCGTTAAGACATGTGGACAATGCATGAGATCTTTCGACCTTTGACCTTGAAGATTAGGTCAAGGTCAAAGGTCAAGGTCATTGGGAAAGTATCAAAATTGCTTATATACGTTTTTTTATGGGGGGGGGCTTTAAATGACCTTGACCTTTGACCTTGACCCTACCTCAAATTATTTTCCCCAAACGAAGTTGGGGAACATATATTTTTTACTCTGTTTCTTGTTATTATTACTCTTTTTTCTTCTTATTTCTTCTCCGGTACTTTTTTGTCCGGAAGTGTTCTCAGAAACTGTTCACCAAACTAAGTTAAAACCTTTTTAGGGTTAGTAGGCATGTTGTGTAGATGTGCCGAACGAAGGTCATTTTGCGCGCATTCGCATGCACGTGCGGGCGCGTGCAATGAGTAAAATGACTGATATATTTAATATGGTTGTTACTTTTATATTTTTTGATAAAATGTTTTGAAACTCATTATATAAAGATATATAAGTTGTGTAGATAAGAGGACATGGTCAAATTTGCATGAACTCACGCGCATGCACGTGCGCTTTGCTCTGATTGGCTGAAACAGAAATCTCAATATCTTTTTTGTTTTCTGATGAAATGCTTTGAAAATTATAACATAGACATGCATTAGGATGTACTACAATAGGATATATAAAATTTTTCATGAAATCACGCGCATGCGCGTTCGCTGCAATCTGATTGGCTGAAAATTTAAATGAGTATAACTCCCTTGCTTTTCAAACAAACAGCATGGGATTTACAACATAGATAGACATAAAGTACTCCTACAGGATGGTATGGTCACCATTCACATGCATGCACGTGTGTGCACGTGCGCTTTGCTCTGATTGGCTGAAACAAAAATCTCAATATCTTTTCTGTTTTTTTTACAAAATGCTTTGAAATTTAAAACATAAGCATACTTTAAGATATCCTACAATATGATATATAATAATTGTCATGAAAATACGCGCATGCACGTGCGCTGCAATCTGATTGGCTTAAATTTTAAATGGCTATTTAAACTCCCTTGTTTCTCAACCAAACAAGATGGGATTAAGAACATAGACATACATAATGGACTCCTACAAGAAGGTATGGTCATCATGCACGTGCGTGCACGTGCAAATGAATAAAATAGTGTAAACAAGATGATATCGTCATTACGCTCATGCAATCACATGCGCACGCCTGCATTGTTTAAATTTGAAATACTTGGTATACTTTTGGGAAAACGTTGTTTACGTCTTAAATGCATAGATTTTGCCTTCCTTAATGAAACTTATAGGGAAAATGGCTGGAGAAGGGAGTTGGGGAGCGTTTGGGGAACATCTGTAACGGTTCCCGTTACAATTAGCACTAGTTTATTATGATTTTATTTAGATTTAATATATTAATCGAATGAATCTGGAAAATAGCGAATTTTACCATCAAATAAATTTCCACCCTCTCAGTGACACAGTTTGCTTCATGAAATGCATCTTTCAAGTTTGATTTACGCTGATAATTATTATTCAATCCAAATAGAGATGTATATTTAATCTTACCTATGAGTTCACCATATGTGTAAAAACGAACGCGCCTATATTTTCAAAAATTGTAAACACAGTGCCGACACGGAAGTTCGAATGTATAATAAGCTCTGTATCATTACGCAGGGGGGGGGGGGTTAGGAAGCATACAAAATATTCTACCTTAGCTAAATCAGTGTTGCATTATGACGTCATAGTAGACAAGATGACGTTAATTTTAGAAATCGGGTTTTCGTAATATTGGTATTTGGCAATGTAATTTAACTCTAGAAAATGATAAGAAACGTGTAAACACTAACAAAAATAAAATGTTTTTATTTTGTTATGCTGTAACAGTCATTATGATTGAAATCTACCACCGATGACATCATATGTGTACATCAAGTAACTTGGAAATAGATCATGTCGTGTAAAGAGAATTTGGCTAAGACGGCATGTTCAAAGATAAGTAAAATGGAGTGTAAAAGGAAATATCGGAAATATTGTTTTGAATTCATATGAAGTTCAATTAATTAAACAGGTATGCTAATTTATTTTAATCGATTATATTCTCTTTCGAAGACAGTCAGCTATATTACGTATCCCGATCTACCTATCGTCCGTCATTCTTGACCAAATTATGCAACAGAACAACAATTAGCTGGATATTTCAAAACATACGATTTGTACAGATTGAAAGTTTGCGTTTTGAAAAACTTGGAAAGTGCTGCTAGAATCCCGAGTTAAGCATAGTTGTACGAAAAATCTCGATTCATATGTATAAAATTCAAAACGAAGGGTAAGGTATCGTGCGAATGTGTGGAATAAATATTTTACGAACAAGATAGTGGGATTCTAGCAGCACTTTTTAGACAGAATAGATGTTTTTCAGATATATTACATACTCAAAGAAATTATCAAACTACGGGGATATTTTTGTTCTGCAAGCCTTTTTATTAAGGAGAATTATTGCTATTAATAGACGTCACGTGATGCCGTGCGGTGATGCACGTCTTTGCGTTAGACACGCTTTTTTATCTGTATGCAATAGTGAATAACAGTTTACGTTTATCAGTGGTTTTGGTAATTTATTAAACTAAATTTTCTTCAAAAAGTCTAAATTTCCCGAGAAGTTACTTATATGCTTCCTTAACATACCTGCGTAACTCAATTTATTAAAAGTATAAACAAACTCAAATGGATTGTTTTTACAAAAAATCGGCATTTTCATTATACACCAATCGTGTTTCTCAGATCTTTTCATTATTCTTCACTACATTGTACCACAAACAAATAAATACACGTGTTTCTGTAGCGTAGATCCGAGGGTCCCGAGTTCGAATCCTGCTGCGAGCATTTTTTTGTTTTGCATTTTTTTTCCCAAATGACTCGGAAACACTTAAAAAGTTGGAAAGATCTTTTATTGTTTTGTGAACAATAAGTGTCCTAGTTTTTTTCCTGAGATTTTTTATCCTTGAAATCAAGCACTTCAATATAAAAAATCATTTTACAGTCTAATGAAAGGTTTCAGTTCTAAAAGGAATATATCATAATTATTGTAGGAGAAGCCGGAATTCCTGGAAGAGATGGACTGCCAGGACTGCCAGGACCAATCGGACCTCGCGGATTCCAAGGCTTTACAGGCAGCCCAGGAGAACTTGGACGTCCTGGAATGAAGGGTGATCGAGGTCCGTCTGGATTTCCTGGTATAGAAGGGGGCCCGGGACAGAAGGGAGAAGCCGGACCTACCGGACCCGAGGGGGCGAGAGGACCCCCAGGGGAGGCAGGCCGACCAGGAATACCAGGTCAGGACCATAGGTCAATTCAGAGAAATAAATTAGTTTATATTCCTTATAATTAAATGACACATATTATAAGGAATATAATTTCAAGTTTTAAAGTTATGGTTGTTGATTTAGGCTAAGTAAGGGGCTTTGATTGACTTGGAAAATATTCTTTGCCTTCTAGTGTTCTAAATTTGAGAGGCTTTTTGGCAAACTCATAAAAGATATTGTAATTTATGACTTTGGTACTTTTAAAAAGGAATGTAAAATCAAATACATGTATTACATATGATATTGTTTTCTCTGATCAGGCCCCGTTGGTGCCAAAGGAAATGCTGGAATCCCAGGGACAGAGGGATTATCTGGTATCCCTGGGGAGAAGGGAGAGGCTGGTGTCCCAGGACGGCCGAGAGCCCCAGGGTTAGATGGACCCCAGGGAATCCCGGGTCTGCCAGGAGAGCGGGGGCCTGATGGAGTCCCAGGTGAGATGATCTGCTTAAGTTTTGTTATAATGAATTGAGAATTATTCAGTATTCAGCTTGATGCAGCCTGAGAACCATGACTTCAATTTTATTTAGCCTAATAAAAAAAGAATTATTCAGTATTTGTACAACAAAAGCTTAAGGATATAACCAGGTAATTTTTGTGTTTTTAAGGTTATACCAGGTAATTGTTGTGATTTTAAGGTGCCAAGGGAGACACTGGTTTTGATGGAATCCCAGGTGACTCCGGACATTCAAAACAATATCTTTCAGGAGTTGTCTAACACTTTTAAGGGTTCTTTCCCATAAATCTTAAAATAAAAACAAAATCTGAACAATACCACATGGGACAAATCCCCCTAGATGAATGAGCCTCACTGTAAATGGAGTTTTCAATATTTTAAAAGCAATTTCTTCTTAAGCCAGTGTAGTTATTATTAAGTTTTTATCTTTGTACATTTGAATCTTTGTAAATGACCAAGGATTTTTTACTTTCAGGACAGAAAGGTGACCGTGGACCAAATGGACTTCCCGGATTACTTGGTTCCCCTGGTCAGGATGGTCTCCCTGGACCCAAGGGTGATGCAGGGCGACCCGGAGCCCCAGGAAATCCCGGACTACCGGGACAAGACGGTGAGTATAGGAGTACCTTGTCAAGAATCATTATCACTGTTAAAGACATTTAACATAGATTACCTAAGAAATATTTGGAAAACCTACAGGTAAATATTTAAAGCACATTGCAAAGGGGGCGTTGCGAAAATATTTTATAGATACTGAATTCTAAAACTCACCAATACGCTTACATATTTCTGTATTTTATATTTGTACCAAATGGAATTAAAATTGTTTGGAATATATATTGATGAAAATATCAGTATACAGTATACATATGTACATACATCGATATCCTCAGTGTGAAGCTAAGCACAGCATCATTAATATTATTTTAGCTTTTGATGCAGGATGAAAATTTACTTTTCTACACCTGCTTAAAATTATCTCAGAAGATTTTGTTTAAAAGTAAAATAGATCGATGGCTTATATATGTAAACTGCGGCTATGATTTGTAACAGTGCTGACTCTACATCTCGTAATATTATAAGGAACTTGAAATTGACATTTACTCATCCAAGTTCAAGATTTTGTTTCGTGGAATTGCAGAAAGGTAATATCTAAATCCTTTAATTTCGTACATTATTTCTTTTTTAATTTATTAATATTTTAGCAGCAAGCTAGCACAATATTACTTTGCTTGTATTACGAAGGGGAGACGTGATTATGATATTCCCTGTTTTCACAGTGATGTGGATCCAGATAAAATAGGGGGGGATCCATTCTTTGAATTTGCGAAAAAGAGTCCCAAATTTTTGTTGTGCTTTTTTAAAAAGAATATTTAATTGAAAGGCTCATGTAGTAACATATGTAGAAACAAAATTGGATTTACTTGTACAAAGATTTTAAATTTTAGATTTATTCTCCTTTCTTTGTCAAAAACTTTCAGGTACTAAGTCCATAATTTTTTCTCAGTCTGATGACTCTCCCACTTTAAGGTCAGACGAGACGTTCCTCAAAATCTGTTTTGTATATCTTCGTAATGTATGAAAAATATTCAAAATTTTAATAATATTCTGCTTTTTACACCAGTTTTTAAACTTTGTTAAGAAATTCAAACCCTCAAAGATTTGAAATTGGAAAATTCTTTTTCTTCCCCAAAGGATTATATAGAAAAATTACCCCTGGTATCTTGCAGAAATGCCTGGTAAGGTACCTCAATTTTTTGTGAGTAAACACGTTTAAGTAGCAACACTTTAATAACAAACTCATAGAAAAATTTATCTATTATTAAGGAACGTCGCGTCTGTCCTTAAAACGAAACTACATGTACATCCCTGGATCTGTTTATCTTTCTGTAAACGTACACTATAACAACTCTATTCCTCTTCAATCCCCCTTCTGAAAAAATAGTCTAGATCCGAGTCTGTTTCACTTAAGTATTTACCAGCTAGTAATGTAGTAACCATGTAAAGCAGTATTAAGATTTGTCTTTAGAAAAACAGTAGTATCCTATACGTAATAAAATTAATAAAAACGAAGAGAGTGTACAGCTTTAAAACGAAAACAGGCGATTGAAAGGTGTTGAAATTTGAAATAATAGAAATAGACCTCTGTTCATAACTTAATGATATCGAGTGAAGTTTAAGTGATTCATCTTGAAAAAAAAATATTTAAAAGAGCACCATCTAAAATAATTACAGTCTTTATGACGTCACAATTGACGTATATGTATTACTTTTAACGTCATGTTCAAAGACTGACAAAGAGAAATGTAACTCGTACGTTTTTTGAGTTTTGAATTCAGATAATTTGAATCGAAGATCATGCCTCTCCACAAATATCGTTTCAAACGAACTGCTGACTATTTATTTTTCATACATTGTGTGTAATATATATACAACTATTGTTATATAAACCAAATATTACCGAATGTTTAACAAAACAGGTGAATCTTTGCGACATCAAAATTTAAATGTAAAGGCATATTTCATATTGGCCACACGTATGAACAACGATTATATTAAGCGTGTAGATTCTTATCAGCAGTATGTATCAGGGTTCTCCATGAGCTGTTTTACTGTGTTGCTTCCGACACAGTAAAATATTCTCAGACACAGTAACGATTCAAATTTCATGCATGCGACACAGTAAAAATTTTGCCGACACAGTTAGAATTGTGATAATTAGAAAATCTAATCACACAAATTCTCTGTAACTGAAACTTTAATCAAACAATTCTACCGTCTTTCCATTTAAAAAGTTATAACACTAAGGCCTAATTACTAGGCTTCACCTTGAATAATCAATCATCTCATACACCCTAGCCGGACTTTACGCATGACGGAATGAAGACAAATAAATTGTTTTCACAATTCAATGTACCGCTTAATTGGTAGTTGCAATAAAATACATTGTAATATTTATGAAAAATATTTAAATATCTCTTTCCTATAGAGCCTCGGCTCTAGAATTATGTAAGCACTGTAAGTCAAACATAACATCGTACCGACGTCATTTCATTGATGTAAATAAATTGCCGAAAATTTTGAAATTTCAGCATGTTCAAGGAACTCTTTAAAATATTTAACTGTTCTGAAGTTCCTTTTATGTAATGCCGTAACTCGATCAAGAAACCTGATAAATAAACACGGCAAATCTACTTTCAAA